TATATATATATATATATATACTTCTGAATTAAATGTGTCAGCAGAATCTATATAGGATCAGCAGTTAGAATATTCCAACTGAAAGTGCATTACTATAATTGTTACCTCCATATCTGTCATTCATGCATTGCAATATATTCCAGTAGTAAAATATTTGACATATCAAGAATTGAAGAATATGTCACATTCTTTTTTTTCTTAGCAATTTATGAATAAATCCATCATGAACACCCCAAAAGAAAAAGGAAAGATAGAATATATAAAAGGCAAAGGGACGTACGTATAATGATATCAATATGTCTAGGGCTGGGAAAATGATCAAGTAATGAACATCATCGCTATTAATTCCTTAGGGTTTTCTTGGGTAAATATGAAATTACTTTAAAATCATAGATAAGACTTTTAAAGCCTATATTAATTTAAGGGTTCCCAAAGAAATATGAAAGAAATCAAGAAGGAGCTCTTGGAGCATAGTTGAATATGAGATAATTGAAGTCATGCTCAAATTTTGCATTATAAGGAGAATATACATTACATAGAACATAGTCTGCATGCAAAAGTGGTACTCTAATTAATATGGAATAGTTATAAAAGTTCAAGGGGGACAATTATATATCAGCCATCAAAACGTATGAAGAGAACCCAAGTACTTGAAAAGGCTGTCAGGTTAACACTCATGTGGTTTTCAGATTAAACTTCCTCCAAAATGCATACTTATAATATGTTAGACTCAGAATATGTTGATCTTCCACTTAATTAATTGTGAACAGGAGGGTGAGTTCTTGCTGGTAAATAATCCAAGTTAAACTCAGGTGGTGGATCTTCCCTTTTTTGATGATGAACCCTCCAAGAAACTGAAACACCATAACTTTTACTACTACTAATATTGCCTTTCAGTTGATCTTTTTCATTTTCTTTGACACTATTTTTTGGCTCTGCTGTTGAGGTTTTTTCTTTTACATCCGATGGAGTACTGAAAACCCTAGCAACACTTGATTTCTCCTCATTCTGCAAGAAAATTGAAAAGAAACAACTGAGTAAGAATTTTAGTTTCAACTTTGTCAAGATATAAATGATACGCAAATGTCTTAGAGAATAATCATCGGTGTCCATGGAGGGACATAACAACAACGACAACAAATCCAATATAATCCTACAAGTGAAGTCTAGAAAAGTAGTTTATACGCAGCCTTAATTACCCCTACCTTGAAAAGGTAGAAATGATGTTTCTAGCATATAAATGGAGGGACATGGACAGTGAAAATTCATACGTATATCAAAACTCAATTTGTTCGCGATTGATGTGTAGTTGTTGTTGTATCATCATTAATGCATGTTTTAGAGAAGAAAGTGAAAAGATTATGAAAAAAGATAGAAATTAACAAACCTTGTTCAGGACACCAAGTGAACGAGCATTACATGCATGGAATAGTAGGAAAATTATGAGGAACGTGACTTTGGTAATTGACATTTGAAAGGAATATATGAACTTTAATTTCCCGTCAGCTCTTAATATTTGAAGGACTGATTCAAAGAAGATGAAAATTGTTGTAGGCTGGAACTGAATAAAGATTGTGTACTAATATAAATACTTTAAGCAAAGACAAATGAGCATTAAATGCTGATTTTGGAAGAAATTAAACGGATTTGATAGCAGAACATGCAAATGTAAGGGAGATAGGAGTAAGATGGCAAAATAAAGATATGGGTGGCCACTAATATGTCTCTTTCATATATCTATCAATTGGGTCCCAAAGACATAAAACCTCCCACTAAAGGAAAGGAAACAAAAGTCAGAACCTTGAGCTAAGAATTTATATATATACCAAGGAAGAAATAGAGTCAAATGAGAGATTTTAAAGTTCATTGAGTTATATAAAAGAAATGTAAATATACTGAATAATACTCCTTCTGGTCCACTTTAATTGATTTTTTTGGCTATTTTCACACATATTAAGGAATTTATCTTTTAGCATTAATTAACAATGAAATTGACCATATTAACCTTAATTTGTGCATTGAAAATATAACAAACAATATTCCTAGACTCCTTACTCCAAGGATAATTTTGAAAAAAAAAATTAATTTCTTCTTAATATCTGAAAAAATCAAATACTATGGATCATAAAAAAAAAAAATCAGTTAAAGTGGACCATAGGAAGAAGTAAATAAAGATTTAATAAAGGAAATCAAATACTCCTAAAGAAAGAGATCGATGAGCTAGAAAGTTGAGAAAACTAGCGATACAAGAAAGCAAGAGCCTGTCCAATTTGTTGTATCCACCGAGGTAAATTCATTGGCCTTGTCCTCGTGTGAAGTTAAAACTATGGTTTTGTGATTCTTTTACATGGTTAATGGCTCCTGGTTTCTCGCTTGGTTCCACCATCTTTTACCTTGAAAATCTTACCAAATATTATTCTACTCCTATTTAAAAGGTTAATGGCCAAAAAGTAAGAAATCTTTTTAGATTGATGATATTAGGGGTGTTTATGGTTCGGTTTGGATCGGTTTTTCCCTAAAAAGAAACCAAACCAACTAAGTTGGTTTTTCAAATATTAGAACCAAACCAAACCAATTAAGTCAGTTTTTTCTCGATTCGGTTTATATCAGATTTTGTTGGTTTTTTGGTTTTTTCGGTTATTTGTCTGTTTTTTCTTAAACATAAGACATACACTACCAAACACATATTCCGGCGACCACATTTTCAACGTAACACTATCAAATCAATTGCCCTTTGAGAAATCTATTATTTACCAAAATATATTGATGATAATTGAATCAAATAGTGATGAATAATTTAAGGACTCAATTAAAAATATATTATTTTTAACACGAAATGGATTCTTATACTTAATAAAAGAAAACTACCAATCAAACTTGAATGTAAAGGTAAAGAACTATACTAAAAGTGCAAACTATTAGCATTTACCATAAAAATTTTGAAACTTTGTATATAAATATACATATATATAGGTGTAATAATAAATTTGAAATAGCTACTCCTATAGCCGATTTGGTTCGGTTTTTTTCCCGTTTTTTCCTGATTAAAACCAAAACCAAGCCAAATTTGATCGATTTTTAAAATTCCAAACCAAAACCAAACCAAACTAAAAAGTATCGGCTTTTTTGGTCGGTTTGGTTTGGTTTTCGGTTTGATTCGGTTTTTCGGGTTTTTATGAACACCCCTACCCATCATGCATGTTAACCAATATACAAATATGTGTCCCAAGTTTTCATGCCTTAGAAAGGATGCTAGAATATTGGTAGAGATGTATTTTGTGACATCAAGATTTGAGTAGTACAATGATGCAATGTAGCAGAAAGCAAGGGGAAATAGTCAATCTAGGAGCTGAAGCTCGAAGAAGGTGATGGCTATGTCAAGCAGATGCGAGAATATAGCTCAAGAGAGAAGAAATTAGAGAGAATAGAGTGTATTAACTTCCAAAAGTATCCCTCAATTACAATTCATTCAACTATATATGCTCAGCTGAAGATTCTAGAATTACAACTTGTAAACTAAACTTCTAACTAACTATAACTGCTGTAACTAACTTTGCCACATCAGCTGCCAACTCAGATTTCTGTTACAGCTTTAACTGCTAAGCTGCTTCTTCTTCTGCTGCTTTATTCTTTAATTTTGTATCAATACCCTCCCCGAAAGAGAATCCTTGGCCTCAAGGATTAAAAGAAGGAAACCTTGTCTGAAGCTCCTGCAGATACTCCCAAGTAGCAGAGTCAGCATCAAGTCCTGTCCACTTGATTTTAACTTGACATATAGCCTTATTACCACGTTTGACTAACCTCCTTCCTAGTACTGATTCTGGTTGAGGACAATAAGGGCTAGATAAGTGAAGTGTAGGAGGATAATTGATGATAGTAGGTACTTCATGACACTTCTTCAACTGAGAAACATGGAAAGTTGGATGAATAAGGACATCAGCAGGCAAGAGTAATTTATAGGCTACTAAACCAATCTTTGCTGCAATAGGATAAGGCCCATAATACTTAGCAGCTAGTTTATTGAATGGTCTGGTAGCTACTGAAATTTGTCTGTAAGGCTGTAGCTTAAGATACACCCAATCTCCTACTTCAAATGATCTTTCAGACCTGTGTTGGTTGGCAGTATTTTGCATCCTTTGTTGAGCTCTAGCTAAATGGAATTTCAACATCTGAATTATGGCTTCCCTTGCTTCCAAAGACCTATCAACCATTTCCACATCTGTATCACCATGCAAATAGGGAAGGTGTATGGGAGGTTTTTGGCCATACAAGGCTTCATAAAATGTACATTTGATAGTGGAATGATAGGTGGTGCTATACCACCACTCTGCTAAGGGCAATTACTTGGACCAATCCTTAGGACAATCTGAGCAAAAACACCTCAAATAAGTTTCTAAGGTTCTGTTCAACACTTCTGATTGACCATCTGTCTGTGGATGGTATGCTGTGGACCTCTGTTATTGTACTCCTTGAAGAGAAAAAAGTTCTTGCCAAAAGGAGCTCAAGAAAACTGGATCTCTATCACTGGTCATAGTAAGAGGCATACCATGTAACTTGAAGATCTGATCTAGGAAGCTTTGGGCCACAGTTTGAGCAGTATAAGGGTACTGCAAACCCAAAAAATGCCCAGATTTAGTCAATCTGTCTACTACTACCAGAATAACCTCTTTGCCATGTGACTTTGGAAGACCTTCAATAAAATCTAAACAAATATCAGTCCAAACACCTGTAGGAATTGGTAAGGGCTGCAATAAGCCAGGTGAAGCAGCAGCATCATATTTATGTCTTTGACAAACATCACACTTGTTGATAAAGTCTCTAACATCTGCTATCAGAGATTTCCAATGAAATAAAGATTGTAACCTCTTAATAGTAGCATCCATACCAGAATGACCTCCCTGAGTAGTATTATGCCACAATGTAATGATATTCTTCTTCAACTATTGATCATTGCCCACAACCAATCTGCCCTTCCACCTAAGTTGGTTGTTAAACCAAGTGTAGGCCTTGTAAGGTTGAACTTGTAGTTTAGCTATTAACTCCTGTAGAATTGGATCATTGCTCCATGATGACTTAATCTGTGCATATAAGGCATTATTAGGAGTGAGTAAAGAAATAGCTAAAAGTTCAGCATCTGGCTTTCTTGATAATGCATCTGTAGCTTTGTTCTCCGACCCCTTCTTATACTAAATAATGAAGTCAAATGCCATTCACTTGGAAATGCCAGCAACTTGGAAATCAGTATGCACCTGTTGTTCCAATAAATGCTTCAATGCTTTTTGGTCTGTCTTAACAATAAAATAATTGCCCAATAAGTAGTGCGACCACTTAGTGACAGCAAAGGTAAGAGCAACTAACTCTCTATCATAGACTGATAGAATCTGATGCCTGGGAGCTAAGGATTTGCTTATGTAAGCAATAGGATGCCTTTGCTGCATCAATACAGCTCTAATGCCCTTGCCACTAGCATCTATCTCCACTGTAAAAGGTTTAGAATAATCAGGCATAGCTAACACAGGGGCAGAAATTAGGGCCTGCTTCAAACTGTTAAAAGCAGTGGTAGCTTCATCAGTCCACACAAAGCTATCCTTCTTCAATAGATCATGAAGTGGTCTACAAATAGTCCCAAAGCCTTGAATGAATCTTCTATAATAGCCTGCAAGACCTAATAATCCCCTCAACTGTTTGATATTAACAGGTATAGGCCATTCCTGTACAGCAGCAATTTTCTTTGGGTCTGTAGACACTCCCTCAGCACTGATAAAATGGCCAAGGTACTCGACCTTAGCCACTCCAAATGCACACTTTGACATTTTGGCATATAGTTGATGCTGCTTCATCAGTTCAAACACAGCCATCACATGATCCACATGAGCAGTCACAGTCTTACTATAAATCAAAATATCATCAAAGAATACCAACACTGACTTCCTTAATAATGGTATAAAACAGCATTCATTAAACTCTGAAATGAAGAAGGTGCATTGGTTAGCCCAAAGGGCATTACCAAAAATTCATAATGTCCCTCATGAGTTCTGAATGCAGTTTTGTTGATGTCTCCTTCAGCCATTCTTAGCTGGTGGTAACCAGCTCTAAGATCTATTTTGGAAAAAATCTCAGCTCCACTTAATTCATCAAGTAAATCCTCAATCATGGGAATAGGGAATTTATCTTTGATAGTCATTTGATTCAAGCTCCTGTAATCCACACAAAGCCTCCAACTACCATCTTTCTTCCCAACCAACACTACAGGAGATGCATATGGACTGGTACTATGCTGTATTACCCCTTGATCTAGCATTTCTTGTACCAACTTTTCAATTATATCCTTCTTGATTCCAGGATACCTGTAAGGTCTCTTATTAACAGGATTAGAGGCTTCCTTAAGAGGTATTCTGTGATCATAAGATCCCCTGTGAGGTGGTAAAGTAGTAGGTAATTCAAAGATACATGCATACTGTTTAATAAGAGCTATTAAATCTGGCAAGGGATCAGATCTTGGTGTAGCTTGTATACTGTGGCAATAAGTGTCTTCATCTCTACTGGCTACTAAGGACATCATGAAAAATTGTGCATCTGCTCCCTCTTTTCTTACCAAACTTTTAGCTTTAGCAGCCTTAAGTTGATCATTTGCACCCCTAAGAACATGCTTCTTTCCTTGATACATGAATTCAATTGTTCTCTTTTTGAAATCAAACAGTATCCTTCCCAAGGTATTCAACCATTGCATACCCAAAACAATATCTATATTTCCCAATGGTAATAGTAAGAAGTCAGAGGAAAAATTGGTACCTTGTAATAACCACTGCAAGTCCTTACAAACTGAAGCAGTCTGCACTTTTCTACCATCGGCTACACTGACAGATTATTTCTGAATAGAACAAGCTTTGCAGCCTAATCTTGAAGCTACTTCCTCATCAATAAAATTGTGAGTACTCCCAGTATCTATCAACACTTGTAAAGGCCTCTTCTCATGGTATCCTGTAACTATAATAGTCTGATAACCTGCTGCACCTGTAAATGCTTGTAAAGATATGGCCATGAACTCATTTGAATCCACCAGTAATTCTTGTGTCATATTTTCTGGTTCCTCTACTTCCATCTCGTCATCTTCTGTCACCTCCACTAAATATAGTTGTTTGTTACCCTTACACTTGTGGCCTGGTACATACTTATCATCACAGAAAAACATAATCCCTTCGACCTCCTCTCATCCATTTCAGCTGTGCTCAACCTCCTACCAGGAATTCTAGTGTTCTTAGTAAGGTTAGGTTCAAAAGGCTTTTTGTTAGTGGAGCTTGGTAATAGGTTCTTTTGGTTATACTGGAGTTTATTGTGATTAGGGGTAGGTAATATGCCAGTGTTGGTTCTCATAACAGGCTTGAGACCCCAAGACTGAGCTTGAGCCTTAAACACCTCCTCCTGCAATCTTGCAATTCTGTAGGCATGTAGCAATGTTCTAGGTGATTGAATTCTCACAGCTTTATTCAATTCTGATTTAAGGCCACCTAAGAAACAACTAATTTCATTTTCATTAGACAAATTAATCCCAGTCAACAACCTATCAAATTCTGCTTGATAGTCCTTAACACTACCAATTTGTTGCAGATTTTTTAAAGCTTCCATATGATCTTCAAAATCCTTCCCCAAACCGTTCATTTAAAGCCAGTACATATTCAGTCCAAGTAGGTTCTAACACTGAATTCCTAGACTTCACATATGACCTATGCCAAGAAATAGCTTCTCCATCAAAATGAATAGAAGCTACCTTAACCCTCTGATCAAATGCTACCTCATCCATGGAGAAAAACTGATCGACTTTATACAACCAATTCTTCAAATCATGACCAGAAAAGCGAGGAAATTCAAGTTTAGAGTATCGAGTAAAAAAGTTACCATTAACAGTTACACCTTGATGAACATCTCTGATCCTTCCTTCTTGTTGAATCTCCATTGAACCAACTCGACCATTAGAAGATTCTGCTCTAACTTGTTCCTTTTCCTTCCCTTTCTGATTCATAGCTCCCATATACTCTTTCAATTCCAACAATTCCTTGTCAGTACATTATGCTCGTTTATAATCATCATTCCATCCATTAACTTTTCCAATTGATCGTTAATGGCTGTCAGTTTGTCTTCCAATTCTTCAACAGATTTCTCTGAATTTTTGTTGCGCGTCATGACTGGAGCTGCCAAGGACGTGAAGCTCTGATACCATTGATACAACCTAGGGAGAACCACACCCCAAAAGCTAGCTATTAAGGTGGGAGAGCCCAAGGCTATATAAACCACACATCAACACTTTGTAGTACTGATGTGGGACTCAAGTCCCATTCCTTGCAATAGTTCATAACAAACCACCACGCTCCGCACCCATCGTCCTCGACGGCTGTGCGCTAGACATTTCTAGCCCCGGGCGAACACTGCAATACCGGCGTCACCATCCAAGGCACGGTGGGCACAGAGGGTGGTGGATGGCTCTGATACCAAATGATACAATGTAGCAGAAAGCAAGGGGAATAGTCAATCTAGGAGCTGAAGCTCGAAGAAGGTGATGGCTATGTCAAGCAGATGTGAGAATATAGCCCAAGAGAGAAGAATTTAGAGAGAATAGAGTGTATTAACTTCCAAAAGTATCCCTCAATTACAATTCATTCAACTATATATGCTCAGCTGAAGATTCTAGAATTACAACTTGTAAACTAAACTTCTAACTAACTATAACTGCTGTAACTAACTTTGCCACATCAGCTGCCAACTCAGATTTCTGTTACAGCTTTAACTGCTAAGATGCTTCTTCTTCTGCTGCTTTACTCTTTAACCTGTATCATACAACGATTCTACTTATCTATATATATAGAGAGAGATATTCACAATTCGAAGTTTATTAATTTTTACACCGATATATCTATATATATTTATTGGATTTTTAAGTACACATATAAGGTAACAAAAATTATTGAGTCCCCATAAACCATATGTTACACTATGGTTCCGGCCGTCTCGGTATATATATACACACACTTTAAATGAAACACAATGTTTACAACATCTTCTCGCTCATATTTCATTATCTTTTTGGACGTACATACGTAATACTTTTGGACAATGTCATGAAGAACCATTTTGTTCTATGTATCTAATTATCATTGAGAGGCAGGGGAATTGATCGTGAGGTTGTGGACAATGAATATACAGAAAAGGACAGAAGAGAGACATTGTTGCATGGCCTAGACCTCCATTGTTAGTCTTGGAAGGGACACAAGAGAGTGCCCTAACCAACGTTAACGGTCGCACATCCCACGTGGACCAACATTTCCTGACCCAACTTGCCACGTGTACACAGCCCCACTTAGGCCGCCAAAACCCCAAGTCCACAAATCCCCACCACCAAATGTTTGTTTCATTTATTTGTTTCTATTCCTTTGTGTTCTTCTAACTTCTTAATTACATAATTCACACACACACACATGTTGTTACAAGCAATTTTTCATACAGAATAACAGATTAAAAGTATGATGAGTATGAGTATCAGCTTAAATTCATACCCTTTTCGTTTCATTTTAATTATGGAATTTAATTTGACTGGATAAAAATTTTAGAATGTAAAGAAAACTTTTGAATTTTACAGTCTTAAATTAAAAAGGTGTATAATATGTCAAAAACACCCTTTAAATTTGTTGATCCTACACGCATCATGTTATTGTTATAATAAAGTGTGACTAAAAGTAAAATGATATTGTTTGAATTAAAAATATAAAGACATTCTTTTTAAGATGGATTTAAACAAAACGCATAAATTTAAACGTAGAGCGTATATAAATAGGATTATTGAGGGGTGGTGGCCTGGTGGTTGGTTGGTACTCAATAGAGCGACGGCGGGACAGTAGTGGGAGTGTGGGGAATTAAGGGAAATGGGTACAAAATTAAGGCGTTGACAAGAGAGACTCAAACTCGTGTGTCTTGTTAAAGCCAAGCATTATTCTTGGTCTTCTAAACTCCGTTGTCTCCACGGTAACCCCTTCAATTTCTTTTTTTTTTTTTTTTTTATAGTATTTTGCATGCCTTCTTTAATATTTTTCCACTTTAATTGATTATTTTATCTTTTTTTTATTCATAATATTTGATTTTTCAGATATTAAAAAAGAATTAACTATTTTTTTCCAAAAGTTATCTTTAAAGTAAAGAGTCTAGAAATATTTGTTATATTTTCAATGAACAAATTAAGATTTATATAATTAAATTTATTATTAATTAATGTTAAAATATGAATTTCTTAATATGTATAAAAATAGCTAAAAAATTAATTAAAATAGACCTGAGGTAGTACTACCAAATACTAGTACCAATATTGATGCACGCTCTTTTTCTCGCTAACAATAGTACCAATTGCTACTTTGGTTGGTGAAAGAATGTTAGTGGTACTAATGAGTACCAAACTGAAATTAACTTTAGCTCATCATATGTAGTTCTTGGAATGCTGCAATGACTTTTTTAACTTCACTACTCTATATACTCTCTCCGTTCACTTTAACTTATCAAATATTCTAAAAATAAATTTTCACTTTTACTTATCATTTTTAGCATATAAAAAAAAAATCTTTTTTTATGTTATACCCACAATATTAATTACTCAAATTATTTTTTCAAATCCATTAAAAATATGCATCAATTAATATAGGTAGGTAAATTATGCATTTCATTTATTATTTCTTAAGAGGTGTGCAAAGTCCATAGTGGACAAGTAAAAGTGAACGGATGAAGTATATAAGAGATTTTTAGAGTCAATTACTTAAATGGTCACTCAATTATTCAAAATTATCTAGTAAAGTCATTTTTCTTTAGTTTGTAACAGAAAAGTCACTTAACTATGCCTATAGCACTCAGAAGGTCACTCAACGATATTTCTCAAACTTTTAATTGTCAAATACCTATTTTACCCTTTAAATTATCAACTTTTATCTTCTTCCTTTTTTTTTAAATATTACGATTTTTTCTCTTTTTAATCAACATTATGGACTTACCTATAGAACAAATAAATTTATTTAAAAAGAAAAAATAAAAATTATTTTTAGCATATATAATATTGGAATAATAATATAATTGAGCATAATTATCAAGAATATATGATGTATATTATAAAATTAAATATTTTATTTTCTATAGTACGTGAATGAAATATATATTTTAAAAATTTTATTTTCTTTCATTTCCAATTGTTAAATAAATTTTTTAGTTTTTTTGTTAAAATCAAAATAATTATTACGAATAAATTATTCTTTTAACTTTCTACTATGCTCAATATTTTATTATTGTAACATTATATATGCTTAAATAATATTTTTCTTTATTTAATTTATGAATAAAATGTATTTGTTCTAAGGTAAGTCTATAAAATAAGTTAACAAGAGAAAAAAAATTATAATATTAAAAAGCTAAAAAAACTAAAAAGAAGATAAAAGTTGATAATTCAAAGGGTAAAATAGGTATTTTGCGATCAAAAATTTTAGAAATTTATTTGAGTGACTTTCTGAGTGTTATATGTATAGTTAAGTGACTTTGCTATTACAAACGAAAGAAAAAAATAACTTTAATAAATAATTTCGGATAGTTGAGCAACCATTTGAGTAATAGATCGAGATTTTTATGGTACGGAGTAAGTTCAATATAATCTTTGAAAAAAGTAAGAGATGATGAAGAGAGCCAAAAGATTGGCGACAAAGCCATTTCTTGGGATTTGGTAGAGCTAGCTTAGATTAGATGAATTTGTTTCTCTCGATCTTCATCGTGTCCACTATAAGTGCATTGGAACCAACTACCAAGATATTTAAACATGTACAATTCCAGCTAACTGTTCACGTCATATATATATGCAACAACCACGCATACATTAATTACATGCATATATATATGTCTAAATTTACACTCATTGGAACATGGCTAAAAGATTATCATACTAGGTGTTTCTTGTAAAAAATAAATCATAGTATAACTGTTTGCTTGGCCTAACGAGAAGTTAAGTATATGATATTGCATCTTACTGCCGCAACTTTCCGTGTTTTAATTTGTGGGAGACGGCGGGGGGGGGGGGGTAGTGACACGTGCCCCATCAAATTTAGGGGGGCGTTAATTGATCATTTTCGAAGTCACTAGATTTTGAAATATATTCGGCCTTCTAAGTTTTACGATTTGTCACATATTAATGATATTAACTTTATATCCGCAATTCACACGTGACATGTTTTATTTTCCCCGTGAAATGGAAGATCATTTAGAGGGTGTTTAGCTAAGCTTATAAGCGGTTCAATCTAGCTTATAAACATTTTTCGGACTACTTACGCGTTTGGTAAAGTTAAAAGTACTTATAAGTGTCACGACCCGGATTTCCCACCGTCGGGATCATGATGGCGCCTAACTCTTAGAACGCTAGGCAAGCCAATAGATACAGTTCTATCACACCAATCACAAACCAAAATAGTAATTAACAATAATTTAAACTAAACTAGTAAGAAGTACGGAAGTTCTATAACAGTTTAAAACACTATTATACGACTACCCAAAGATCTGGTGTCACAATCCATGAACTTCTAAGAGTTTCTACAAATACTGGTTTAAAGAAATACATC